TTTCAGAAGTCGTCGGTGTGTGGTTGTATGTTCCGGCGGGCTTCCGGCGAGATCCGGGCCTTCACCGAGCGGGCTCCGCATGCATCGCCGAAGCTTTGGTCACCGGTCGCAACAAGCCCGACAACGCCAGCGACAACTTTAACCAAAAGCTCTCGTCAACAAACTGGACCAGAAAAATGATCATCCTCATGCAGCCTAGATAATCACTCAGTCTGGACTGACATGGAGTTGAGGTGACATCCCACTGGAGAACCGCCTTGCCGAAATCGGCAATGAGTGTAAGGCGTGATTCCTGTGCAGTTGTCGTCATATCCAACGACGGATGTATATAGACCACGATGCACATCATCTTCAACACTAGTGTTTTGAAGAATTTCATGCACTAGTCCGACACAACCCTTCACACTCAAAATGCCTACCGAGTTCATCAGCGTAACTTTCCCCAACGCCTCGACAGAGATCAACCCGATCCCTGGCGCAGGCGTTGATCCCGAGTTCCTGGTCCGCTATGCCAGGTCACTGGATGACTACGGCTTCAACTACACCCTCGTTCCCTACGGCTCTGACTCATTTGACCCTTTCACTATTGGCGCGACTATTGCTGCCGTCACAAAAAATGTCAGCGTTATCATCGCGCTGAGACCAAACACCCTCTACCCCACTGTCGCTGCCAAGGCTCTGGCAACTCTCGATCAGCTTAGCAAGGGCCGCGTCGTGGTGCACTTCATCGCTGGAGGCAGTGATGCGGAGCAAGCCAAGGAGGGCGACTTCCTCTCCAAGGACGAGCGCTACGGCCGTCTCGAGGACTACATCAAGATTCTCCGCCGCGCGTGGGAGTCTGATAAGCCCTTTGACTGGGAGAGCAAGTACTACACGTTCAAGAACTTCACAAACAAGGTGCGCCCTACCAACGGCACCATTCCAGTCTCCGTCGGTGGCTCTTCAGATGAGGCGTACCGCATTGGCGGTTCCTTGGCAGACATCTTTGGTCTTTGGGGCGAGCCTCTCAAGGAGACCAAGGAGCAGATCGACCGCATCTACGGCGAGGCGGAGAAGGCTGGCCGCAAGGACCGCCCCCGTATCTGGGTCACTTTCCGTCCTATCGTTGCTGAGACGGATGACCTCGCCTGGGCCAAGGCTCACCGCACGCTGGACGCTCTGAAGGGCAACATTGCTGCGGGACAGGGCAAGAACGGTCAAGACGCCAGTGCTGGCCAGCCTCAAAACGTTGGTTCGCAGCGTCTGCTTGATATTGCCAAGCGTGGGGAGGTTCAGGATCGTGCTCTGTGGTATCCTACAGTCACGGCTACCAACGCACGTGGAGCTTCGACGGCGCTTGTCGGCTCACACAAGACTGTGGTCGACTCTATTCTCGACTATGTCGACCTCGGTGCTGAGTTGATCTCCATCCGTGGCTACGACAACTTCAACGATGCCATCGACTACGGTCGTTACATCTTGCCGAGCGTTCGCTCCCAACTGGGTGGCCGTGAGAATGGCGCTAATGGAAAGCAATGAGTAAATGATGAATGAGATCTGATATCAGGCGCGAGGAGGAATAGTTGTACGAGATTATAGAGATCAAAACGAAATTTGAGTAAATATTCACACATCATGGGCGATTATACCTCTCGACATAGCGTCGGCGTTTAATCTCCCCGATTCGTTTGATCTTCATGAGATTCGTCAGCTATCATTACATTACATCTCACTCAACCCCTCATCCCCAAAGGATTCAGGGCCTAAGTGATGTAGACCGGCATACGGCTACCAAACACATCGCTCTTCTCAACCTGGATATCCTTCCCATGGAAATCATGCAAAAGTAGCCAGCACACCATACGGAACACCAACATGCACCAGATATCGCTGATCTGTTGCCCTTGGTCTTTTGAGAGGGGCTCCAAGGAAGCTTCTGAGGCGATTGACCTCGCACCTCGTTCTCTTCGAGCCTGTTCGTGCTTCAGATGACGGCAGACTACTTCAACGACTCTCCTTCGGACTGAAAGGAGATAAATCTCTACTAAGACCGAGTGTCTTTCGCTCGAAGAGGCTGAGTCCAGCTTCTGGAGAAGAGAAATCTCCTTGCGGCTCTCTGCTGTCTTCTCTTGTGTCTTTGGAATGGGCGAGGCTCCAGGAACGATCAACTCTTGAAGAATGTTGTTGGCACTCCTGCCACCGCTAGCTGGAGTTACAACAACGGTTTTGTATTCCCCATCCCTGTCGTTCAAGATACGCAGCACCTCCTGGAAGTGGACGCGTACAACATTTTGAACCAACGTAATGCGCTCTTGGTTCTTGAGGAACTGGTCGCACTTGGCGATGGCGGAGTGAAGAGACATGACCAGGTCGTTAGAGAATATTCTCTCTTCGACATTCTGAGTGCGCCTCAGGATTGCCTCGGGTCCGTCGCGTGCCTCCAGCTCTTGAAACTTGTCTTCAATCTTGGCAGCTTCCTTGTGAATGGTGGCTACGTATGATCCGAGTTCTTCACTGAACATTGCGTCACTGGAAGAGGCTTCCTTCATGCCGTGGACAAAGTCGCCCAGGAACGTGCGCAGTGAGAAAGACTTTCTGTCCCAATGCCAAATCGTCGGGTTGGGGAGCATTCGAAAGGCGGTGCCGGGGATTTGGAGGGCGACGCCGGTCATGCCGAGGAGCTCAAAGGCAACTAGGCCACGTTAGTATCTAGGGACAGTGTCTCGACGGTGTCTTCAATATGGCTTACTTGGAAAGAGGTGGGTGTGTCGCGTGTCAGACGTCGGCTTTCGGAAATACTTGACGGTGTTCGTATTGCAGCCGAGCACAACAAGAGTCTCCGCAATGGCAGACATGCTTCCCAGCTGCAAGGTACCAATGTCCTTCGGTTCGTCTGTGTACTTGTGGTTGCTGCTATTCTGCTGGCGGAATATTGTTGGGCAGTAACCAAAGCAGAGCTCCTTGACGCTGTTGTGAGGGACAACGCGGTTCTCATGGAACCAAGTCGGTCCCGTCTTCTGAAAGGTAAAGACGACTCCCAAGTCATCCACGTCGTACCCAGTAATCATGAAGCCGTTTCCTTGAGCACGGTAGCGGTCCTCGTTTCTGTTGAACTCCTTCCAGTAAATTCCCAGCATGGCCGCCATCTCCACAAGATGCGAGATGGTCGTGGTGGCGTATGGCTTTTTCATATTATCGGGCATGCTATCCCACGATTTCTTCTTCCTCTGCATGCCGACGGTGAGGGTGTACGGGACGAAGGTGCTGGTCGGGTTGGGGTGGCACTGTGTCTGTTCTTGCCACTGAGGGGTGTGGCCGAAATACTCGTTGTCCTGCCATGTTCGCGACTCCTTCTCCATGCGCTGAATTGCCATCAAGAGCCCCAACCAGTTGGCGAGTTCGTTGTCGGCGGTATGAATAGCCTGGCGGGTGTCACCAGCCCGCAAGCTCTGGTCGATCTGGTTATACTGATCTTGGTCCCAAGTGTACGTCTTCTTGTAGCTGTCAGGCGTTCCAACCATGTAGGTGATTTCCTTGTTCTTGTGCTCTCCCAAAGGTCCCCTGGGGTTTGTCGGGGGCGCGACGAAGATGACGGGAGTCTCGAACTCGACCTCGAAGCGGAATTCGTACCATTTGAAAATGCGCCGCGTGAATTGCGCCCAGTCTCCCATGACCTTTGGCGTGCAAGATGAATATCCCGTAGCTGATGCATAATATTGCTGTAGCGCTTGGAAAATGGCAATGATGAACGCGAGGACGGAAATGACCAACGCGACAACGGCCACGATCAGCTCGAGGTCGTCGTCTTTTCCCCCGCCTCCCCCACTGCTGTCAGTGCTGTTCGACGACATGGTCGCGGCACTGTTGACGGATTAGACTCTTCCAATTGACCGCTTGAAAGGCTTAGGCCATAGGGCTTCGGAATCGTTTTCGCTGATTCTGCTGCGACCTCATCGATCGAAGGCGAGTTTCGTTTGCGCCGGGCGCGTGAGCTGAGAGAAAGAGGGAGATCGTTGGATTTAAGTAGGCTCTCGGCGCCTCCAGCCGGGAGCTCGCTGAGACAAAATATCAGCCCAGCTAGGCAGCTACAAATCGGTTTTTGTACGCGCTAAATGGTTCGCTAAGGATATGCAAGCCCCTGTTTACCCCCGGTGGCAGACTTGATTCAGTTGGTGGTATTCGACATGGGTATCATGCAGGGCTGTTCAGCTTGATGGAACTTTGGTCATTTGTCCTCACAAAAGCTCGCTGGCGGTGAAGGTAAATCTCTTAGGCACTTTAGTTGTACGGCTGGCTGTTGACTAAGTGTATTTAGTCTCCCATATCGACGTACTAGCGTTAGCGATCGATTTACAGAGGCGTCCACATTGTTTTCGCGTGGACTCTTCCCGCCGCCGTCACCGAATCGCGGCGGCAGTGGCATGGCTGCAACAGCCTTGTGAGCTGTTGGATGAGAATAAGTCAGCGCTTATGCAAAGGACAGGTCTGTTGGTGGTTTTTAACGGTTGTTGGTTGGTTGTGTCCACACTAGGATTGAATCCTTCATCGATCGTGGCCCTTTTGCGAGTGACACACCATTGGCTAGAGCGGTTTTTCGGCTTCCAACCCCCAACAATTTCTACGACTGCCGATATCCGGCAATGTGGATGGCCGCACACACGCGATCCCAGAGAAGATGTTTGCACCGAGATCTCGAGACATCCATTGTGGAAAGTTGAATCAAGTTTCGGAACTCAATTGCGAAAACTGGAATTACGAAGGTGGCCGATAAATGGCAGGGCTACTGATCCGGTGCTAAGTCTTACCCAGCCACCATGGCATCTATGTGACCGTCAGGTCATACAGGTCTAATTACTCTGCCTTCACCCAAGTGCCGATGCGATGAGGCAGCATGCTCAAAGGTTGATGTTCGGGCAATGTGCTGACACATTCTGAGATCGACTATTGACGAGCTTCTACCGAATGCCCCAAAATAATGTCTGCGGCCTACACTAGATGTTAGCAAATTATTGTGATACAGATTAGAACATACCCGCCTTCTCTGCAATTGCGTACACTGTTGCTTGGGTATGCGCCGATGGCAACAGGGGCATGATGCTCGCATCAACGACTCGCAAACCATCAACACCATAGACCTTCAACTCAGCGTCCACAACGCCGCCCAGAGCCTTTGGGAGCATTGCGCAAGTTCCTACATAGTGGTACTCCGTTGAAGTGACTCCTTTTATGAAGTTCAGTATGTCCGCATCGCTTTCGGTGGCCGTTCCGGGAAGCGTCTCGGCTGCACCTAGGGCTTGAATGGGCTCAGTTGCCAACAGTTTCCTGTTAAACCGCAATGACTCGACTAGCACCTTCCCATCGTAAGGATGGGAGAAGTACCTGGGGTTGATTGTAGGCGATGCAAAGGGGTCTGATGACGTGACTGATACCGTTCCTCTGCTGAGCGGGTGCATCAGGATATTGACGACTGAGCGACCCCCATCAACGTAGAGCAGTTCCATTGCGGCGGTGGAGCCTTTCGAATGCATCGATGCAATCAACTCTGTCTGCTTCTCATAGCCAGCAACCACCGTACTGTCGATACTATCATGTAGATATTGTGTAGAATTCGCCCCAATGGACAAGATGAGGTCGTTGGACAAGTCGGCTTTAGTGAAATTGTACAGCGGGATGAAAGCCAGGGCTTCGGCAATAGTGTCTGTCCATCGACCTAAAAAGCGTTCGGCTTCAGTCAGCGCTCTCCGAGTACACCTAGTATAAGTAATCAGGGAATAGCTGACCTTTTCTCTCGGCATAGTAGAGGTCCCGTTGCTCAGCGTCAAATGTTGCATTGTCAAGGTCGGAGTTCGCAGGAATACCGGGGCTTACTGCTCCTATGTTAGTGAGAATAGCTTACAGCAGGTGAGCAAACCGACGTGATGCGAGAGTCAGCCCAAACGGGTGATCCTGGAGGTTCTCGCCCACACCCGGCAGGTCGACCGTGGAATTAATCCCGATGTTAGTCAACAAAGAGGCTGGGCCTATTCCAGACAGCTGCAGAATCTTTGGGGAGTTCAAAGCACCTGCTGACAAAATAATCTCCTGGGTAGCGACAGCGCTCCGGAGCGAGCCATCGGTTATCGAGGAAAACTGTTTGCGCGACGTTTTAAAGAGTGGCCTCGTTAGGCTGGTTGGCGAACAAACTTACCTCAACTCCCTTTGCAGTTGTTTTTCCCTCTGTCGTGTCAAGAATTATCTTGGTGACTTGATGTCCAGTCAGCACCTTCAAGTTGGCCCTGGTTGATGTAGCGTCAAAGTGAGCTGTTCGGGCACTTGATCGCGACTGATTTCGATGGTCAACTGAGTGCGTCGTAAGGTAGGCTCCAAGAGGATCGCATCCTTGGTCAATCGGCGAGGTTATACCAAGGCCATGCATCGCGTCCAGAAAGTTGGCTGCAACTTTAAGTTTGGGACTACTCGTAACAGGAGGTCGAAGAAGCTACGCACTGTTGTTTGGATGCGACCATGCGAGATAGCTTGACTGCACTGGTCCTTCGTATCCATGGCAAGATGGGTCGTGCGTCAGGCCGTAGAGTGAGGCATGCTCTGGAGACGCTGCTGTGAAGGTCTCGCTCTGGTATCGCGTGATTAGCAAACGAACTAGGAACGATACTTTGAAGACATGAGTTCAACCTTCTTGAAGTATGGTAGTAAGTTGTCGAAATCCCAGCCTTCGTTTCCAAACGCGGCCCACGAATCATAGTTCGAGGGCATGCCTCTGTCGAATATCATTGCGTTCACTGTACTGCTACCACCGATGGTGTGCCCTTGAGTCAGATTGACCGTCTGCCCTTGGAGAAAGTCCTGGGGCACCGTCGTCAAGTTCCAATCGTATCTCGTTCCAGGGGCAAACCCAGATGCTCCTGGATAAAATCGAGGGATCATGACTGCGGCTTCGTAGTTGTCTCTGTACTCAAAGCTGTCAGAAACGCTCCGACAATCTTGTTCAATAAACTGGGAATCACGAACAGGGATCCAGCTTCAATGACAAGCACGGTATCTATGATCGGGCACGGTCAGCATTCAAACATCAGCTTCAGTTTGAACTCGACTCAAACCCACTCCCCGGCACTGCAGATAACCTTGAAGCTAGAGTCATGCCCCCGGTTCCGCCACCTACTATCACATAGTCATATGTGTCCATGACACTGGAGTCTTGTGCCGCAGAGGCAGTTGCCATCGCGAGGGCCATCCATAGCCATTGGGACCTTGGCGACATATTGACGGACGTCATGAACAACTAGTAACGTCACATCTGTAAACATGAAGTGGTCGTCTCAAGAGGTTCCAGCCTGGGTACTTTTAAGAAGCTCAAGTGAGCGAAGGTCGGATGACGCGGGACCAATCCGGACGTTGAGTTCGTGCGAAGTAACCTTACCAAACCTTAAAGCCTGGCGGAACTGGGGTAAGGACTCTCCCCCTTGCCATTCTTGCTCAATTTCCAGACTCCTATTGGACCGGCAAGAGTTCAAATAACTTTCAGGAAATATCAGAGTATCATTGGTCCCTTCCGACAACGGCTTGCAAATGAGATTCTGATTACCCCCTTCTTCCCCCTCTTGAGTTCACGTGGCTTCAGCATGGCACAGAGGCATTTTTTGAACCGTAGACTGATCATCGATTTTTGAATACTTTAATTTTATGTAGGCGAAGGTACAACGCACAGCGCTTTCGTACATTCTCATGGCAATGCTGCTGTTCCAGGTCACAGTCCATCGCCCTTCCAATCTTTCTACATTCAATGAGGATGCTGGCACATGAGATAGCAGAGACGACAAGCAATGACTACAGAAACAGATCGCGACTTAATGGAATGTTGATAAATCATCCGGGATTGAAGTAGTTTCCATTGTCTCCTAAATTACGAGGTGCGTGGCAGCTGCTGGTTGTAGCATGCCATGATTGCGTTCGCGACTTCACCACCATACAGTGTACCTCTGCGTACATATAGTTGCGTTTCAGTTTTATCTGACTTGAGCACTTTTGAATGGATGGCCAATGAGAGATCAATCATATTTGTTTCAGTGAACAGATATCCAGTATCCCATAATACTTAGCCTCAGGTATGAAACAACTCCCGTGCGCGACGGGTCTATCAAGCGAACAGTTGTACTGATGATTGTCTCGATGTCCATGTCAACTATTCAGCTACTACATGCCAGAATAGAGGGCCCGGACTCCTTGAACATACTCAGAATGCACCGCGTACCGCCTCATGATTGCTGTATGACCACGTTCGTCAAAGGTCAGTCTGAAAGTAGTTAGTCCAAAGACGAGGTGCGTCGTCGTCCCCTTCCAACCAATGAAAGCACTCAGTGCTAACATGGTTCGTGTTATCCAATTATTGCGCTTTACACCACGTTGGGATGTTTTTCCATTTCAGCTGCGGCTGAGCGATTCTCACCTGATCTTACACTGTGTCATGAACATCACAAGGAGACTGCCGACTAGAACTGAATCAACGACCGTCATCCAACTCCTTCGCGTCGCTCGCAAGAGCAACTATCGGCATCGAACAATTAAGGCAGGAGTCGAGTCTGTTTGCCATGAACACCAACAACAGCTACCGCTATGCTTCCCTCGCAAGCGCTCGGTCCATCCGCTTGGTCGTACTGCATCCCAGCACGAACATCGATGCACCTCTTGTGTGCGACTTGACTGAGGTTAACTTGGACAGTCCGCCTGAGTATGAGACTCTGTCGTACACCTGGAACGATGAGTCACCTTCGGAAAGCATGACAGTCATGTCTACGAGCTACGATTGCCAGTCTTTGCTTCTTACGCCGAACTGTGCATCCGCCTTGAGAGTTCTACGGAAGCGCATCGTCAGCGAAACAGTGGCTCAGATTGGACTTTGGGTCGATGCCATATGTATCAATCAATCATCCAATGCAGAAAAAAGCACACAAGTCGGGATGATGGCCGAGATCTATAACCGTGCTGCACGGGTCATCTTATGGCTCGGGATGAGCTGGGCACCGCCTGATCTCAAGAGCCTTTGGATGATCCAGCTAATTCGCTTCACTACGACTAATGGGTATGAGCCTGAGTGGCTTATCCCACTCATGAAGTGGCTGCACCCAATCGTTGGCAACCTAGTTGCCAAAGGTAAGGAATTTCACCAAATCATCTCAGCCCTCGATTAAGACATGCCTAACCGTCTATCATCAATGTAGGTCGCAGGAAAGATATCATATCCAACATCTCTCGCGCCCCGTACTGGTCTAGGATGTGGACTTTACAAGAGTGCACACACACTACTTCCGCCTTGCTTTGTGTCACTGGACAGCTGTGCCCGCTATCTACCATCCGCGCCATTGCATATCCGAACATTTTTGATCATCAGATCAGCAACCCATTGTATCTCCATTTCAGTCTTCTACAATCCCTGCAGTACGTCAACACATCGCAGCCGCCCCCGTGGATGTTGGCCCTATCACTGCAGAACATGCTTCGAATGAAGGCGTCGGATCCGCGAGATAAGATATTCGCCCTGCGAGAATTATTCCACGGTGTTCTTCAAGGGATCCGTGTATCTTACGACCGTTCGCCCGAAGAGCTGTGTGTTGAAGCGACCAGACTGCTCGTCACAAAGCAACAAAGTCTCAAGGTTCTGCTGCATGGATTTGTCCAGCCTAATTCCCCGACGCTCCCATCTTGGGCAGTTAACTGGGTTGCGGAACCAACTAGCGTTTTGTCTCGTCGGAGACTTTGGGAATCCGTGGCGTCAGAAGTCAATGCCTGCAATGGCGCTGAACCCGCAATTAACTTCAGCGCTGACGGCCAAAGACTGGTTATGAAAGGAGTAAAAATAGGAAAAGTCGGTCCATGTATCAGTCAAGAACTCCATCCTGTGGATCGAGTTAACGAAGAAGTGAGGGACAGGTTCGGATACTCATTTCCAGAATTTATCTCAAAGTCTTTGAGCACAAACGCGATTAGTAGGGATGAGTTTACGGCTGGCTTCAAAGAACTGTTCAAGGTGGAATTGGTGACAGACGTCTTGAAACGACCCGCTTCGGAAGAGACTTGGAGGCTTTTTGACAAGCAGACAAGCCCGGAAGAAATATGGCAACTCGCCAAATACAACGCGAACGTTGCTACAGAGCTCATAGTCAGCTCAGCTGGCGGGGCGCTGTTCGTTACTGAGTCGGGAAGGCTTGGGAAAGCAAACAGTGAGATACTTGCGGGCGATTTAATCTGCGTTTTTGCGGGGCTTTCGGTGCCATTAGTTGTCCGACCCAAGGGGCCATATTTCGCAATGGTATCTCCTGCACTTGTCCACGGAAAAATGAGAGGCGAGGTGTGGCCGATTGATAGGGGCCAGCTAACTGAGTGGGAATTTGTATGACCAAGTAGTCGGTATCGGTGGGCGTGGAGCATCGTCGGTCGTCGGGAGACGTTACCATTGATTATTCGAGAAGGAAGGCGATTTTTGGGCGTCCTCGAACCCTGTTCATCCAAGCCAAGGATTCATAGCCGATTTAAGTTTCCCATTAGCTTCAGCTCATGGTGTCTTGGGGCTGGGAGACGGGAAATCAGATTTCGCCGGCTGGCAATGCGGGCACGGGCGACTTTCGTGGGCTGGGGAGAGCTTGTTTCTCTCATGTCAGTGTCTTAGTGATCGGACTTTCGCCGATTATGGCCGATCGAACTGCATTGAAGCTTGGGTCAGGACCTCATCGCAGGCTGTGCGAGTTGTTCATCGGAAAGAAAACATTTTACATATTTTCTAAAACTATAGTTCACTGGAAAAACTTAGTAAGGTACCTAGAAGATCTACAGCTCCAGGAAATCGTATTTCCAAACTCTTCATTGAGCAATCAATGTCTCATTTCATGACGTTCATCATGTCCTGTGCTGCTCGTAATGGGCACGGAGAATAGTGGTTTCTTATTTCCAAGTACTCCAAACGACTGTTGCCATAACTCGAAAGCGATCCGTTTTACCGGCAACGCACATACACCCGGATACGTGTAAAGTCTATTCTCACTAACAGCAGCTGGGATGCTCGAGGATGTATTAGTTCATCTGGTAGATGTTATGCTGGATGAATCTGGTGCGGAGGGTCGCCCCATGAAAGGTTCTAGAATATGATCGCCATGGTCAGGCCAAGGGATTGGAGGTTTGGGATCGTCGGCTCCCCCGGGGCCTGTTGGGGGCCGTCATGAGTCGTGATACTGAGTGTGATCAGGCCGGTTATGCGCCCGTGAGCGTGTATCCGTAACGACTCCCTGTTGCAGCGATCGAGTACGCCAAGGTTTTCTAGAAAAAACGACGTTTTTTACGGCTGAGACGACGTTTTTTAGACGGCGAACGAACATTACTAAGGCGGCCCACTTAGGTGAGTAGGCTAGCCTCTTTTAGCCCGTTATTCGGAGCTTTGAGCCTATCGGAAGATAGATCTTCCGAGTGGGGAAACGGCTACCCGATTGGGCTAGCGTCGTTTTTTGTTTTCGTCGTTTTTTGAGGTCGAAAACGGAGACGACGTTTTTTGGGCCGAAAACGCGTTTTTCTCGAACCCTGCCCTGTTGCCGCCAGTATCAAGGAGCCTGGCGAAACAGTTGCCTGGGAGTTGAACCTTACTACTTCGCGAATATACCGACCTACTCTCTACAACTAGTTCTTTTTACGCCCTACGGACGCTTCATCTGCCTTACCCCCCCCCCGTCTCTGCCTACGTAAAGACCGCCAGGTCACTCAAGACAGGGCGCCTTTGCGCGACTCAACCATGACGCCCGGGCCATTTGTTTGACGGCTTAGTGACATGGACGCATCATCTGCACAGCCTCTTATGAGCAGAAAAGAACTTTATGATTAGAATAACCAGTCGCTATTCGGACTGATTAGTCTACCGACGTCGGAATTTCTCCACAGTGGACGGGATTTGAAAATGCCTTGATACGAATGTGCTACCAAATGTAGTATGGTTCCAGACAGGGGTACACTTATTAGACTTTCCCAGAGTCTCGTAATGTCCAGCTTCTATTATGATGTATCAACGCACTCCATATAAAGGCTTGGGCCTTGGTGGTTCATGGCAGCGATGTCGATCACCGCATCCCTTTCGCTGCAATCTTTACACCACTCTCGTTGCCACCAGTACTCTCGCTCTTCGTCAACCTTTTCAACATGAAGGTTCAACTCTTGCCGCTCGTTGCTCTCTTCGCATCTCAGGCTTTTGCCGCGTGCGGTAGCGACGAAACCGAGCTCTTCGATCTTCAAGTCACCGACGGAACAAACCAATGCAGGAACTTTGGTTGCTACAAGGCCTGCACCTTCCCCGGTGGTAGCGGTTCATGTAACGGCTGCACCCAGTCCGTTTCCACTGACACCATTCGCCCGCTCGGCGGCAGCTACTGCTGCAAAGGGCCTCTCACTGGTTTGACAAACACTTGTGTTACATCTTGCCCCGCAGGTAAGAGTAGCCAACCTACGGACGAAATGCGAATCGAAAGGTCAAAACAGGAACTAATCTGTGGGTTTCACGCAGGAACGAACAGCAAGCGAGCGATTACGTACAGCGAAATGAGACCATTTCAGGCCTGATTCCCACCGTTTGATATTTCTGTTTTTGGTCACCTTGATGGAGGCTTCTTGGACATCTTTCGGGAGGATTTAGCATAGCGATAATATCATACATAACAATACTCTACGTACGTTAAAGCTGCAAAGTTTCCTACCCACCATGGTTCACTGTATAAAAGCGAATGTTGGTCCTGGCAACCCACTCGGAGCTAGTGAGAATCCAATGCTACAAACATAGCAGAGACGGCAAAACGTATCCAGGCGCCTCTAGCAGTAGTCAAAATACTCGACTAGGTGTACCAATGGCTGATCAGATTATGATCTAGACCATTCTCACAGACTTTCGCCGCCGCGGTTCCAGGATAGTCCTTCCGACCGGGCCCTGCTCCTCATTGAATCCCGTTGTACGATCAAATATCTTTCGCCCACGCAGCCAAGTCTCGTTCACGGCTCCCTTTAGTGTCTTTCCTTCGAAGGGGGACACCTCGTTTCGGAAGAACATGGTGTCAGTGTTGACCTCAAATAAAGCTGTATCATCAAAGACCACCACGTCAGCGTCGAATCCCACCCCCAGGTCGCCCTTCTCCTGCTCCAAGCCAACTTGACGTGCCGTATTCGTACTCGTCCATCGAACGATATCCTCGATGGTGATACCTCGAGACTCAGCCTGGGTCCAAAGAATGGAGAGCCCCAAGCCGAGACTGCTGACACCTCCCCACGCACTGAAGAAGTCACCATCCTCGCCCTGATGGCTGTGTGGGGCAACAGGCAGTGACTCGGGAATCAACTTCAGGTCCGGTGTGCAGGGCGAATGATCCGAGACTACGGTCTTGATGACGCCGTCGCCATTCTCACGCGAGAGCTCCTCCCAGAGAAAGGCTTGGTTGGCCAAGTCACGAGCTGGAGGGGCTGACTTGTAGCGAGTATCGCCCTCGGGAACCTCCTCGGCGGCCAGACTAAGGTAGTGAAAGCAGGTCTCAGCGGTAATGTGGATACCACGATCTCTTGCCTCCCGTAACATAGGGATACCTTCAGCGGCGGACAGATGCACAATGTGCAAGTCCAGATCGGGTGCAATGTGGGCCTTGGACAGAATCTGACTGATGGCGTAGGTCTCCAGCGTTGGAGGTCGAGAGTCCAGATAGGTTTGGTAGCTAGTGAGAGGACCGGTATATGGTGCGCCAGAGCCGACGAGTGTCACGTTGGGAGGCACCATCTCTGCATGGAACATAACCGTGGTAGGCGATCCGGCAAGGGCATGCATAGCTGCTTCGATATCGTTAGGGCCGATGGCTGGGAATTCGTCCACGCCGCTTTCAATGAGAAACCCCTTGAACGAGCGTACACCAGCGTTGACCAGAGGCTTCAGGTGCTGCGTATTGTTGGGTATCAGACCACCATGAAAGCCGACGTCGACCCAGCACTGGCCGTCGGCCGCCCTGACTTTGGTCATGAGGTTCTCGACAGTGGTTGTAGGCGGAAGAGAGTTAAGAGGCATGTCAATCAGTGTCGTGACACCCCCCGATGCAGCCGCTCTAGAGCCAGTCCAGAAACCTTCCCATTCCGTCCGGCCGGGCTCGTTGAGATGGACATGGGCGTCGAGTAGGCCAGGAAGCAGGAGCTTTGGCGAATAGTCTGTATAGGCGGTGCCTGGAGGGAATTCGGAGGCTGATTTGACAGAGTTGTCGACTGAGATGATCTTGCCGGTTGTCGTGTTGACCACAAGAGTTGCCTCGCTCACAGATCCGCTTAGAACAACGCGGGACGACGCAAACACAAGGAGATCTGACGAAGAGTTGTTCAGGAGAAGGGCCTGAATGCATGTCGAAAAGAGCGCCACTCCGGAGAATCGGAGTAAAACCATGATGGAGGGAGAATTATATCAGTTGCTCCTGCTGTCTTCTTGACGACGACGGTATGATGAGAGGAGTCGACCAAATCAGTGTGGTTAGATCGGTCTTTATATCTATCAGATCTGGGTCCCACCTGGGGATCGTGAGGAGGTTGAGCCATATTCTGGTCCGATGTTCCCGAAGAACCAGGTTGAAAGCATGGTATCTTCCGACCAGGATCTTAAGGTCTCCTGGCAGTCTTGGCAATCTAAGGTATTTGCCTGAATGTGCGTCAGTAGCGTGTGTTTGCGACTTCAAATGAACTCTCCTTGCATCTGTATTCAAATGATCAATCTTCAATTTAGATCTATTCTCTTCTTGGCATGGCTTGAGCTTTGTTTTCTTCATTGTCTTCATGTTCTTTTAACATTCCGCGCAGATTTACACTTTGTCACAGTTGAGCGTCTATAGTAACTGCCCTCAGTCGTCTCCCGACGACATCCACGCATGAGGAACTCTAGTTGCATACGCGGAACTGGTGGGATAAGATGACTGTAACTTCGCTCGGATGCTAGCTAAAGACTTGGCATGACACATAGTAGGTCCAAATGCAGGCTTCGCTGCAGGCCTTACTGCAGTGTAAGTAGAGAGGAACTGTGCAGTGCCTGCTGATCAACAGACAGGGAAACCAAGCAGCACTCCGAGTTGTTCCGCAACTGGGAGCTCAATATTCTACCAAAGTCTATTTGTTTTCGGTCAAGGTCCGATTGTATGGGTTGCTGCGTAGCTCATGTGGGATGGATTCAATGCCACAACAACGATCCAGTCGGGAAGCGCCGAGGATCGCTGAGCGGCATCAGCTTGCTTATTCAACTATTTGGGCAATCCTTCCCGCAGCTGCATTGCAAATCCTGATTTTCCAAGAAATGTCCGTTCCTTGCAGGTAGCCTAAAATTCCCCTTGTCGGCTTGGCTTTGATATCCCTTCGGTTGCTCAGATATTGACGTGCGGGGTGCGGCCAATCAGCTTTCGGATCGCGATTTGATCGAGTAACAAGAAGCTTATTCTATCGAGTAAACCGCAATGGGGACAATGGGGCTAACTGGGTCCCGCGTAATTGGCGCCGGTGGACGTAAGGTAATAAAAGTGAGGTCAGGCAGCATGGGAAAAGGAGAGATATCCAAAGCCATTGCACACAGGCCATCAAAACCTGTGTAAGGTCAGGTTAAGCCATAAGGTAGAAGTTTTGTGAAACACCAGTCCGCTAAATTGGAGCTGGGCGATGCTATATCAGCAGATTGAATAGCCTGGAGTTTTCCTGACTCTAACTGATATGTTCACAATCAATTCATACATTCTCTCCCTTTCTCCGATAATCTCTTATCCTCGATTATTCGCCGAGAGTATGGTTTAATGAATCCCAAGCTGACGCCTGATTAACCTATTGATACGATTCGTCTTGCATTTTAGTCTTGACAGCCAAGCAAGCCCTGCGGTATCTAGCGAGTCAAACCTACAGGGTGTGTAACCCACCGTGGGACTGCATTCCAAGTTGTCGGCAAGCATGAGATCTTCAAGGCGTTGTATCGCATAACAGAGACCCCGTTAAGGCATGGCTGGGAGGACTTGGCAGATTAGGTATCTCCGCGGACGTGTCCGTATGGGGAACTGGAAATCATTTCAACTGGCTTTCAACGCAGTCAAATTACTTTACTAGAAAAGGGAAAACAAGCCCTACAACTTTTATGCCGAGACCTCGCATGGAGAACCGGCACATTCTCGGGATTATTTTCCAATGTTAAATCAACACAGTGACGGTCTTGGTCCACGAGAGTCAGTAATTATGTCTCCCTGAGTTGCCAGTAAGGCGGATAAATCATCATCCGCCTGCAAGATCATGAACAGTAGGAACCACTCCGTGGCAGAGTTGAGACCCCAAACACCTTAATCACCTTCGCCCGAATAGAGTTTTTATGGCATTTCAGGATGCACGATATCAAGAACTTTTGCGTCAATGACATCAATCAAAAACAGTTGGAAATGTAAGCAACTCTCTTCAGAAGCGCGTCCAATGGCATCAGCAGCATCATGCACCTCGATCTTACTTACCGCATCGGGAGTCTCATCGCAAATGCTCAGCCAATCATGGTTGCAGAACCTCCCATCGTATTCAACTTGGCCGGCTTTTATACCCAATAAGCGAAGTCAGCTCGAACTGCCATTTCAGAGTGGTTTAGTGCTGACACGCTACCAATCGCTTCGGGCCGCGCGGTTCTTTTGCACCTTGATTACAAAAGCCTTCGATGGAGCTGCGCGCGCCTCGAGCTGAACCTCAGCATATGGTCAGCGTCCCAAACCGCTACCTTGGATGCCAAAAACTGCTTTAAAAAAGCTCAACTTGTTGATTGGGAAAGTTTGATCGAGAATCAGCCAGTTATCCGCATCCAGCACTTGACAAACGACCGCTTTATCGCCCTTCGTACGCTCACCATCAATCTTCTAACATTGCTTCTGGAATTGCTTGTCATAGCATTGAATAGAGGCTTTATTTTACCCCTTTCTTCTGTTGCTTTGACGTCCAGCGGAACGTGTGAATCATGGGACGCGCGCCAACTAGCGGGTATTGTCACACTTGCCGACGACGACGAGTGAAGTGTGGTAGGCAACCCATTCCAGACTAAAGTCCCTCTACTGTGACTTGTGAACATGAAACTTACCACATCATCAACTCAGATAAGGGCCGTCCCGAGTGTGATCGCTGCCTCAAGTCTGGCCATAGGTGCCAGGGGTACGAGCTGCCCCTGCGCATGCAGAACCTAACAGTCGGCGAGAGCAGCGGCAGCCAGCAACTAGTCCCGGTACCCAACCCCGCGGTGGCGGCGCTAGCACGGCCTGACATGTCGCGGGAGCTGCCTTTGACTGCGTTCCGCGATAGTATGGCTTTCTCACACCTGCTCGCTAACTACCGCTGGGGGCCATTCTGGAAGCCGCTACTGCGGACATCCATGTCCGAAGCGTCGTCGCCAGCTGAGAGGGCCCATTATCGAGCCTGTCTGGCCACTGCTCTCGCCTTTATGGGGAAAGCCGTGAAGGAGCCGAAGATGTTGTCGGATGGATACGAGATGAATGGCGAGGTCATCAGAGGCTTGCATGGGGCTCTGCTCCAACAGTCGAAGTCAGAGATGGCGC